AGTCCAGGTTTATCGCCTATCTAGGTTCCATCTGCAGGGAGTCCGGCCGAGGTTTCCACATACGGCCCCGAACGATGTGAACGGGGTTCCCGAGACACCAAACGGGCGCCCGGTACACCGTGCCACGGTGTATCTACCGCATCATAGCCCACCCCTAGGGTCAGCGCTACGCATGGCCGCCAACACATAACCTACAAACACCAGAAACTAGTTGCAACTCCTGGACAGAGTACTAGGGTGATTAAGAAGCCGAGAGGGTCAATTAAGGATCCCAATGAGTGGTAGTAGCTGTTCATGGATCACAAACACAGAATTCAGTTCTTGAGGACGGTTTCAATGGGACAAACCACCATGTACTCCTACATGGCCTCTCACTGCTACCTTTACCAAATGGTGTTCACACGCTTAGCTCATACACAGTAGGACATGTTCATCGCCATTCCAATTCATCCCTGATGAATCAGACCTGACTCAACTCTAAGCAGTAGCAGGCATGACAAGCAAGCATTAATGAGTAGGCACATCAGGGCTCAAACAACTCCTACTCGTGCTAGTGGGTTTCATCTATTTACTGTGGCAATGACAGGTCATGCAGAGGATAAGGGGTTCAACTACCGCAGCAAGTAATAGATGAATCATTGTTGTCCTAATGCAGTAAAAGAGAGCAGGAGCGAGAGAGTGGGATTGTATCGGAATGAACAAGGGGGTTTTGCTTTCCTGACACTTCCGAAGATAGTATAGTTCTCCATCGGTGTCATCGAACTCATCGTCGGAACCACGTCTACCGAGGGGGAACAATCACCGGCAAACACAGAAAGAACACATCAATGCAATGCAACAAACATGATGTATGATCATGGCATGTTAAGGTACTGAATTCACCTAATGCAACAGTTAGTCATATTAACTGAAGTGGAATTCAAACATATAGCAAATTCCAACTCCAAAACTACATACCATATATTCCATAAACATGAATTGTCCTAGTTGGTGATGTTAACTTGCTCAAACATGCATGAACATGGCATAAACAGATTCTTCATATTTTTCTGATAATTTTTCATATATAATTTATTTCATTCTGAGTTATAGATTATTTTCTATGATTTTTTAAAGTTTTAAACATTTTCTGGAATTTCCTGATTATTTTTAAACCAGAAAATGGTTAACTGCGTCAGCATGACGTCTGTGTGACGTCAGCAGGTCAACAGTCGCCGTCCAGGTCAAACCTGACCAGTGGGACCCACTGGTCAGTGACTAACCTAACTAACCAAGTTAATTAACATTAATCTAATCCTAACCTAGGTTAGTTAAGGGCCTGAGGCCACATGTCAGTGTCTAAACCAACTATCAGGGTTAATTAGCACTAATCTAATCTAGCTAAAGATTAACAGAGACGGGCCCGCACGTCAGTGAGCCTGGGGGGGGGTCAAACAAGGTCAACTCCAGGTCGGCGGGGTCAAACCCACCGGCGACTCGACACTGGCGAGGCCCGAGACAGCGGCGCGGCTTGGAAAACGCCCACAGGGCTCGGTTTTGGACGCGGTTTGTGGCTACAGGTAGCTGGCGGTGTGGCGCATCCAGAGGTGCTGCGACTGGAGCAGGGGCGGCCGGAGATTGCCGGAACGGAGCTCGCGGCGGTGGCCGGAGTTCAGGCGCCGATGAAAATGACGACATCGTGCACGGGAAGGTCAACGGGTAGCACCTAAGGTTTCTATGGGCTCTCACAAAGCTAACGGGCATAAGAACGGGACCGATTGGCCACCGGAGCCTCGTCGGCGACGAGCTCGTGCGGCGGCGTGCTTTGGTCATCAAGGGGGCGATGGCTACGATGATCAAACGGAGCGGGGAAGAGGGGGAAACGATGGCAGAGCTCACAGCGATCACAAAGAGGGGCTCGGCTTGCTCGCGGACGGCTTGGCGACGGCGAATCCGTCGATGGAGTCCGGCGGCCGTGCTCGGGGAAGACGACTCGTGGCGGCGATGTGGGGCTCCCGCGGTGGCGTGGCTCGGGGTGGAAGGAAGAGGGGGTCGAGGCGGAGCCTTTGGGCCGGTCAGAGAAGCGAGGGAGAGGCGGTGGCCACGGTGGTGCTTGTCGGCGGCGACGGTGGCGCTCTTACCGTGCGAAAGGGAGAGAGACTGAGGGGAGGAGGAGCACTGGGAGAGTGAGAGAAGACCATAGGCATTGCGTGGCGACGCAGGAGGCGTCCAGGGCGACGAGGGAGCAGCCAGGCAGGGAGGAGGTGGCCGGCGCGTGCGCGCGCGCGTTGGGCACACGCCCTCCTGCCTACTGGCAAGAGGTTGAAGACGGTGGCGGTGTGGTGGGCTGGGCCTCTGCTGGGCCGTGGTGGGGCGCCAGGTAAGTTTGGGCTAGGTAGGTTTCCCTCTCTTCTGTCTTCTAATTTTGTTTTTGTTTTCTAATTATTTGCCTCTGTTTTGAGCTTAGGAAAAATACCAAGGCATTTCCTAAAATCCTGAAAATATTCTTGGACACGTTCTGAATTATTTCAGTGGCCCAAAAATAGTTCCAACATTATTTGAACATTTAAATTATTTATAGTATTTTAAATGCCCAAAGTCAAATACAATAAGATTTAATTCAAAAATCCAGAATGGCCTAGAAATATGTGCATGATTTTTGGCAAAGGTTTTCACCTTTAACAAAAATCATGAACTTTTCTAAAGGACATTTGGGATCATTGAAAATATTTTTATTGAACCTAGTTGAATTCATTTGGTGCTAGGGTTTCAACAATCCCCATTTCAAGTTTCATGAAATTTAAACATGATGCATGGATGCAATGCCACTAGTTACAAGAAGATTTCTAGGGCTGTGACAGTAGGAGCCAATATGAGTATCCAGGTTCCGCTATTGGTTATTGACCGGAGATGTGTCTCGGTCATGTCTACATAGTTCTCAAACCCATAGGGTTCGCACGCTTAACGTTCGATGACGATTTGTATTATGAGCTATGTGATTTGATGTACCGAAGGTTGTTCGGAGTCCCGGATGAGATCACGAACATGACAAGGAGTCTCGAAATGGTCTAGACGTAAAGATCGATATATTGGAAGGCTATATTCGGACATCGGAAAGGTTCCGAGTGATTCGGGTATTTTTCGGAGTACCAGAGAGTTACGGGAATTCGCCGGGGGAAGTAGCGGGCCTTAATGGGCCATACGGGAAAGGAGAGAAGGGCCTCAAGGGGTGGACGCCCCCCCCCCTCCCATGGCAAGTCCGAATTGGACTAGGGAGGGGGGCGGCGCCCTCCTCTCTTTCCTTCTCCCTCTCCTACTCCTTCCCTCTCTCCCCTATTGGAAAAGGAAGGGGACTCCAACTAGGATTGGGAATCCTAGTTGGACTCCCCCTATAGGCGCGCCCCTCCTGGGCCAGCCTCCTCTCCCCCCTCCTTTATATACGTGGGCAGGGGGCACCCCAAAGGCACTCCAAGATTTGTCTTAGCCGTGTGCGGTGCCCCCCTCCACAGTTTTCCACCTCCGTCATATTGTCATAGTGCTTAGGCGAAGCCCTGCGTCGGTAACTTCACCATCACCATCACCACGCCATCGTGCTGACGAAACTCTCGCTCGGCCTCAACTGGATCAAGAGTTCGAGGAACGTCACCGAGCTGAACGTGTGGGGAGGTGGCTCGACTAAGAGAAAATCATAGGTGACATGTCTGGAACATTCGAGTTAGCACATGGATTTCTATGACGGTAAGGAAGCGACCGGGGGTCTCGGATGACAGCAAGTCTAAGATGGGGGTCGGCGGTCAGAGGCGGTGGAGATGCTGTCGGTTCCAAACTTGCAGAGCACCCGAGGTCGCGATCTTCGATATGGTGGCGCTCTACTTACGGCGGGGCTCAGAGACATAGTTGTGCGGTGGCTTGGAGTCATTGGCCATGGGAACGGCGGCGCCCAGGTGTGCGCGCGGGCGACATGCCCTTTGCCTCAGCAGAGGAAGAAGATAACCAGCTAGTGGGCTGGGCTTGCTGGGCCATCCTATGCCAAAAGGTAAGAACTTGCACTCTCTTTTCCTTTTCAATTTCTGTTTTTTAGGGGCAAAAATGTCAAGCAAACGCCCAGAAGACGGTCAAAGCCCTTTGACTAGACAGTAACAGCATGGAAGGACATTTCTGTAAGTGCAACTAACAGTAGAGGGGCAAATTTAAGCATGCTTCCAAATTAGGGGCAAATAGGAGTAGTGGGTTCGAGTTAGGGGCACAAATCTAAATGTCCCTAGAAAATTATACCAAAATCTACAACGCCTAATTAATTTCATTAGATCCATCATACAATATATTTTCATACTATATTTTTGATGTTGTGGATATTAGTAATTCTTCCATCTACAACACTAAGTGTTAGACACACATGATTTAGAACTTTAGTGTACTTAATAACACACTACAAAATATATTTAACAAAAACGAAACACTATCGTACATCTAGGTGACAATAATTGAATTTTGGAGGGTCGTTAAAATATACTCCCTACAAAGTTACATTAAAATTAAGACACTTATTTTGAGACGGATGAAGTATTTTATTATTCTGCTTACATACAGCGATTTAGTTTAATGAAAGAGATTTAAAGGGCGAGTTCTCTCAAACTAACCTTATGAAAATAATTAAAACAAAGAGTGGTATATGTGAGAGTATTTGCTCAAAATAACTAGGAAATGAATCGTGACAATTAACCATGAAACAAATACAAAATAAGAATATTACTGAACAAATTAAGTTGCCATAACTTACAAGTCTACGATTAACACGCTAAAATACGCACATAGCACTTGAATAAGAACAAAATAGTTAAAAAAAAGTGTAATAATCAAACTGAGTTCAGCTAGCAGCTAGTAACATAGTAATGCTTATTATGCGAAGGAGAATACCATGGATACCCAAATCAATCGGTCCCCTAATATTGCACAAGCAATCGTATAATCACTGGCAGGCCGTTTGGCCATGCATATTTATCGTCCGTGGCTCTCGACGGTCACATTTTGGCGGCGGGCGGCCGCTCGACGTGGTCCTGCCCGAAGGCCCGAATGTGATCCTTGAGCGAGCGCTTGTGCTTGAAGTCAGAGCCGCAGGTGCAGTGCCACCGGCGGCCGCAGTTCTTCTCGTGAGTTCGCCAGTCGCCGCGCACGGCGAGCGCCTTGCCGCACTTGCGGCAGAGGAATGGCTTGGCACAGTGCCTGCGCTTGTAGTGCGTCTGCAGCGTCCGGAAGTCCTTGAGCGGCCGCGCCCGCGGGTGGTCCACGTGGCTCCGGCACCCCGGCGCGCAGCAGAAGCACGGCAGCCGGAGCATCGCCGCCGGCTGCGTGCCGCGGAGGGAGTCAGGCCCGCGGCGGTACTGCGACCCGTGTCCCCACATGTGCATCTGCATGCATCATATCCTCAAAGTTAACTGCATAATCATGATATTCAGCAATGTCACTCAAAATATGTCAAATTAATTAGACAACAGTAGATGCATGGATCTATTGGTAATGCTGTCAGCAGACAGACATGGTGCCTTTCCTGGGGAAGCAGCTATAAATCCGTGTACACATATGGATGCATCCACAGTGCAACTGTGCAAGGCAGAAAGGAGAGAGAATTTTCATGGTACCTCTCTCCCTCTCTCTGAGCCTGGACATGCACGAGGTGACAAAAATACGAACCAGGCACGACAAAAGCCAGGATAGAATGATGGGAGGAAGCCCTACATCTGTAGTGGCCCAAATGTGGGAACTAACAACAAAAGGAAGTACGAATTAACCAGCCTGCCTAGCTGAAACGCACAAAAGGCCCCAGTCTCTACACTATGGCCC